ATTCGCACTTTTTTTCATTATTAATTAATTTGTTCCGTTCATAAAATATTTTCATGATTATTTGATGAAATAAAGATAAATGATTATCAGGTGATTGCATCATACTGCATCATTACAAGTACATTTTATTTTAAAATATGAAAGAATATTAAGCATGATTTTGAGATGGTGGAGAAGATTTGTAACCCAGGTGAATGATTTTGATGGGGTTTTATTCTCTGAACTGAATGGTTTGCTTGTGGAGTTTTCATCATTCTTCTGAACGACATCATTTGAACAAACTTCAGGTACAAGTGAAGTGTTCGAATTTCTCCAACTTGTTGTTCACAGCATGTCCTGTACACCTCGTGGATGATTGGTTCTTGTTGACCTTAAACGTATCATTGTTTACTTCTTTGTTTTGGTTGCATCTCCCATTGGTTTGGTTTTTGTTCCTATGTTTGTGCATAATTTTCCTCATTGGTTGATAAGTTGGATCGATTTCAATGTGCATGTTGATTACTGATTGACCTGAGTGTCAAGTTTCTAAAAATTCTCTGGTGTTTTTAGAATTGCTTCTATACAAAATTTCCACATTTTTCCAATCGAATGTGTGTCCGCAGTTGTTCACGTGCATTGATATAAGTGAGGACATATCATGGCATTTGATTGCTAATTGATGTTCATGCAGGCGAAGATGAAAAGGACGTCAGCTTTATCTGATGTAGTGTTTTTCGCAGCTGGCACAATTTATTTTGCAGATGATGTTTGGTTTATCTTCTTTTGTCATTTCATCCTTTGATTTGCATAGGATTGATTGTAGTGATATTTTTTATTTGTGTACAGTACCTATTCCAAAGGTTTTCAGCAGTCTCGTTGTACTTTCTGATATGCCTTTTGTATATGGTAGGGTGATAGTTACAATAACTTAATAATTAAACGATGTGTTAAACGTCTGTTCTAAGTAAAATTCCGTATTAGTGCGGCTATTTTAATCGTATTATCTCCTCAGACTTAATGTACAGTGAAGTCAATCGTGTATGTGACCACTAAGTCATAACTTTTTTTCTTGGAAATCTAACTAACCTAAAAAGTTCTCATTTACTACTTAATACACTGGGAAATTTCGATAGACTAAAGGGAACTGAGGGAAGTTAGATGTTAGTCAGATACTCATCACCCCTTCCAACTGTAACATTTGCATAGTGGTTGAACCAAAAAATTTGAGATCGTGGACTGGGTACAGTAATTTTAGCTCACAGAGTTAGTATTCAGTGATGCATGATTCCAATCACCTACTAGGTGGAGGTCCAATGTCTGGTTTTCAGTGGGGAGATAAACAATCAAGATCAAACTGATATTTAGTGATCATCTGTTCTTAAAGATTTTCTGGTTCGATTGTGCCTGCAATTTCAACTACCTGTAGATCAAATAATCACAACGAACTGTATTTCGTGAACGCTTCTGTCTGCCAAAAGTCTCGAGAAATATTTTCTAGCTACGTTGTACTACTAATAAGTAGTTGAATTTATAAAAACGAAGTGAAAGCATTTGATAAGAGAGTTGCAAAATATATAGGAATTGAAGTGTACAAGATATTGTTTCAACTAGGTAACATTCGTGTTATATTTCGAGGAGAATAAACAACATTAACTGTTATGATCTATTTATAGACTAATACTTTACATATATTCTTATTGTACAACTATTCAGTAACTAGATTTGGTATATTTATATTCCTCTTATTAAAGGCTTTCTTTTGACCTATAGACTATTATGATACGATTTACTAGTCTTAAATTATACTCAGTTTGTTAATTACCATCTTCCACAACTACACCTCCTTTTGGCTTCATCGTGTATTAATGTCATTTCCTATTTTATGGTATGATGCGGTCTGTTTGGCGTGTATATAAACCAGGTATGATTGAAATAAATGATTCACACAGTGGAAGCTAATATTGGTATTCTGAACTCAACTGGCAGGGTTAGGTAGGGAAAGGACCAATAAAGACGGTAGACTGCTCACACCGGTCGACACATCATTGGTATTGCACAGTACTAAGATTTTATAAGTCATACTCTGGTTGACGAATAAATCACGTGATATTTAACTGGGCCAAGTCACAAAAATTTGGTAATGGCATTAAACAACACTCGTAAATATATGATAAGAATATGTCTTGGTGAATGCTGACATGTATTTACATTTAACAAACACTAAATCTATTCACAATAATAAATAATGAATTGAGTAAACATGAAATCAGAATAATTAATTTGTACTGTACAAATAATTTGTTTGTTCTATTGCATAAATCATAATAACAACAGTTATACTTGTTAACAAGTCCTGGAGTAAGCTCATTGATGACATCTCTAGGTGGACATTTAAGTAAACAACCTCGACCTTCCATTTGATAACCTTGGAAGGTTGAGTAAGCTGTCTGTAAATAAGAAATTGAAGAAAAACAAAACATTGCTTGAAATCGTAAATCATAAAGTAATCAGTAATTATTTCTGAATCGTACAAATATATCCCATTTAGTTAATTTGAAGAGAGCAAGAAGAGAACATGAGTGATATAATAGGAATCCATTTTATTTCGTTAGGTTCTCTTCAACTGCTAACTAACTGTAATATTTCGAAATTGATATTACAAAGTGAGTGGTTAAAATTACTTGTATGATTGTATTTAGTGGGGAACTATTGCAAACAAATCCAGCTGACGAGTCCCAAATAGGACGAAATGCGCGTCCTGGATTCCAATGCTAGCCACTACCCATTATTGCTTACATAAAAAGCTTGTGAATTAAGGCGATATCGAGGCATACTCACAGTATGCACAAATGCCAACATCAAACTGATCAATTGCAGTCTTAAACCTCAATGGGAAGATGCAAGCCAAATAATACCAAGTGAATTTAAATTCACACCATTGCACAAGCAAGTGGCTATCAGGACTCAGTAGCTGAGTGGATAAGGCAATGACGTTTGAAGCGAATGCTGCTGGGTTCGAGTCCCAGAGTGAACATCAACTCGGATACAGGTACATCCAGCTGACCACAGTCAACCGTTGAGAAGTGCCCAACACTGATATTGGTAAATATCAACGAAACAAACGCTAATCATGAGTAAGAATAAAATAAACAGAGAATACCTGATTTAGTAAAATGCAAATAGGTATTTCTTGAATATTAGACGTCACATTCATACTTTGTACTTTATTGAAGGTATCAACAAACAGTCTAGTTCTAGCTATTTGAATGGTTCTGAAGTTGTTATTAATAGGCAACAGAAGTTTAAGTTAAATGTTCCGAGAAAAAACTGTTGTGAATATTTCTCGGTAATTGTGAAATAACTTTTATCTTGGTATATCGCAAAGCTTCTTTTAATTCTCTCATTTGATTGCTTTGTTATTTTTAAAACTCATTTATTTCATAAATTTGATTATCAACTAACTGAGCTTTACTCGTAATATTTTATTCTTACGTTAACATCTATCCATTACGTAATGAACAATTTCTAGTCCTTTGGTCTTTACGGTTATCAGTGAACTAGAATGCCATTCTACGTTTGAAATATACTTGTAATATTGTTACTTAATTATAAGCAAAGATGGTTAGTGGCTAGTAGTGGAATCCAGGACGCACGTTTCTTCCTATTTAGGACTCGTCAGTTGAGTGAATAACGCGATGGCGTTTAGAGAGAACGATACTGGGTTCGAGATTCAGAGTAAACATCAACTCAGAGATGCAAGTACGTCTGACTGACTAGTCCCAAAGAGGACGAAACTGGATTCTACTGGTAACCACTATCCGTCTTTACTTATAAAGCTTGTGACTTAAGGTAATATTGAGGCAGTACGTACACGATGCACATATGCTAACAAGAAACTGATCAATTGCAGTCCTAAACCCCAATACTTACTTACTTACACCTGTTACTCCTCGTGAAGGAGCATAGGCCGCTCACCAGCATTCTCCATCCAACCCTGTCCTGGGTCAATCCTTTCCAGCTCCTTCCAGTTGTTATTCATCCTTTCCATATCTGCTTCTATTTCCCGATATAATGTGTTCCTTGGCCTTCCTCTTTTCCGCCTTCCTTCAGGATTCCAAGTTAGGGCTTGTCTCGTGATGCGGTTTGACGATTTGCGTAGTGTATGTTCTATCCATTTCCATCGTCTTTCCCTAATTTCCTCTTCAGCTGGAAGTTGGTTTGTTCTCTCCCACAGAAGGCTATTGCTGATGGTATCCGGCCAATGGATGTTGAGTATCTTGCGTAGACAGCTATTTATAAATACTTGTACTTTCTTGATTGTGGTTGTTGTAGTTCTCCAAGTTTCAGCTCCATACAGTAGAACTGCTTTGACATTCGTATTGAAGATTCTCACTTTGATATTGGTTGAACGTTGTTTTGAGTTCCATATGTTCTTCAACTGAAGGAATGCGACCCTTGCTTGCCAATCCTTGCCTTTACATCTGCATCTGATCCGCCTTGTTCATCGATGATGCTTCCCATGTATGTGACGGATTCTACATCTTCCAGAGTTTCGTCATCAAGAGTGATTGGATTGCTGTTGTCCGCTTTGAATTTGAGGACCTTAGTTTTCCCCTTGTGTATGCTGAGGCCTACTGATGCAGAGACTGCTGCTACACTGGCTGTCTTTATCTGCATCTGTTCGTGTATATGGGATAGGAGGGCTAGGTCATCTGCGAAGTCAAATTATCTAATTAGTTCTGAGCTGTCCATTGTATTCCGAGTTTTCCCTCAAATGTCGAGGTCTTCATAATCTAGTCGACCACCAGAAGAAAGAGGAAGGAGGAGGGTAGACAGCCTTGTCTGACCCCGATCCTTACTTGGAATGCATCTGTCAGCTGTCCTCCATGCACGAGTTTGCACTGTAGTCCGTCGTATGTGTTCCAGATAATGTTGACAATCTTCTCAAGTGGAACATACTTCTTAATATTTATTCTTATTGCAAGCAATAAATTAAAAGTAAAACCTTCTTTATTTTATTGTAATGTGGGGTTATTTCCACTTGACTTACAATACAAACTCCACAGTTATCTAAAATTTCGTCTTTTGTAATTTGGAATAATTTTTTGTATTTGTCTTCACATGGTAAACAAACACGACATTTGATAGCAGAAACTACAAAGAAAAGACACAGAAAAATATACATTTTTCTCAATAAGTGGATTAACAGCTCTCAGTTGATATATTAATTCCAATGTTATTATTGGAGGGGATCAGTAGAAATACGGTAAACCTACTCAGTAATTCATTCTGTTCTACATTGTGAATATAAAATGTGTTATTTAAATGTAAGGATTATCCATAAGTTTCTAGCATTCAGTCGTAGATACCTTCAGAGCATTGTTCACGTATCTAAAGAAGTCTAAATGAGCAGCCCTAAAGTTAAAAACGGAGTAATAAGTAAAGATAACAAACCGGTTGATAAAATTGTGAATTCTTATCGATTAAAGGGGTTGAAACGTGTATTACGTACGGCTGTCCAGTGCTTCCAAGTTTTCCATGGTAGTTGTTGGAGTGATTCAGAAAATTTCTTGCAAAAGACAAACAAGCATCAAGAAACACTAAGAAGCGTTTCATTCACTTGACGTTTTTGCCAAAAATATCAAGGAAGTGAAACGTCACATGTAGAGGTTCTGATTGACTGATTGCTATACTGTTACTATGTTTAGTAGCATTCCAGAATCTTCGAGCAACCCAAGGACATTTAAAAATATTATAAAAACCCTATATTTTCTATGGTAAAATGAACCTTGAAGTAAAACTACTTCTCGCATACTTTGCGTCTTCTCTCTCGTTGTACAGGTCACTGTATAGTTCTAGCTTTGAGGGAGGGGGTTACAGAATAACTTAGGAAACGAATATAGCGTTCAATTTGCAAGACTTATCAGTAGTCTAGACTTTATTGAATCATGATCTCAACTATTGAAATTACTATAATATCCACAAAACTCTTTCTGATATCTATCAAAATAAGTCATTAAGCAATAACTGTCAAATAACAAAAGTTTAAACATTTAAAGTCATTTATTATCTTAGTAGGTAATGTTATAAATAATTGACGTTTTATAAATGAAATAAAGATAGTCAGTTTATAATCTTGACATTATGAAATATATAGTATATGTAGTATATAATACGTAGTATAGTACATAGTATACAGTATATATATATCGTAATATACTTATTACATAACATTTGACATCCATTTTACAAAACAACCAAATGTATTTTATTTTCAAATATAGAATGATTTTCATCTTAAAAATAAAAAAAGAAAAGAAGAGAAAAAAGAAAACAATTAACCGTTTTTTTTTCTTTTTCTTTTCTTTTTTGATTTCTTCATTGGTTACATATGAAGATTCGGAAAATAGAATTGAATTGTTATGTATTACTACAACAATTTACTAATCTGTGAAGATTTATATTTTTAGCTTTAGTGGTGTTTGTTATAACTTGTGGACTGAGTGCTTTATTAATGTATAACGTAACGATACCGCCAATTGGAGAACAGTGAATTATCGATCGGACCAAACTCGTACGAATAGTCTAGAGTCCTTATCGGTCCTACTTCCCGCCAAGCCCAACCTGTTATGTCCAGAACACCAATCTCAGCCTCTGCGATATTAATCATTTATTTCAAACATACTGGGCTTATATACAAAACTAAACAGACCATATCCTGCTATAAAATATGAAACAACATCTGTACAAGATTTAGCCAAATGTGGCTGTCAATGTGGGAGATAGTAATTGATAGATAAGGCATAACTCAAAAATGGTCAATGGTATAATAATAGTTTATAGGTCAAAATAAAGCTTATGATAAGAAGAACACGAATATGAATAGTTTAGTTACATAACAATTATACGATAAAAATATACGCATAGTGGATCCCAAAGTTACCATTCATTATTCTCATACAGATATAACAATATTTAAGCGTGTATTTGATTTAAAAGTACAGATATATACTCTATAGTTAGATGACTTGATATTGGATTAAATTACTATATATATATATATATATATATATATATATATATATAACTAAATTGAAACTAGTAACGACATTCGGGAATCTGAGTTCGTCACATTTTAGTTTCATCAAACGGACCTTATGAAGAGCATTTTTGGGGACTAACATTTTGCAAATTAGAAAAACATTCTTAATCATCTGCATATTTTTAATATAAACCAAACTATATTTCATTAAAAAAAATAAGTTTGTTTTTAGTAATGAAGAAATGAACTATAAGAGGAAAGATGAATAGTGGATAGCAGTGGAATTTAGGACTCACGTTTCGTCCTAGTTGGGACTCGTCAGCTGGATTGATCAATTGCAGTCCTAAACATCAATTGGAAGATTCAAGTAAAAAATTTTCAAGTGAATAAAATTATTATGTCTGATAAGTCTTGCGGATTGAACGCTATATTCGTTTCCTAAGTTATTCTGTAACCCCCTCCCCCTCAAAGCTAGAACTATACAGCGACCTAAACAACCAGAGAGAAGACGCAAAGTATGCGAGAAGTAGTTTTACTTCAAGGTTCATTTTAACAGAAAATATAGAGTTTTTCTAGTATTTTTAAATGTCCTTGGGTTGCTCGAAGATTCTGGAATGCTACTAAATATATTAGCAATATAGCAATCAGTCAATCAGAACCTCTACATGTGATGTTTCACTTCTTTGATATTTTTGGTTAAAACTTTAAGTGAATGCTGATTGAATGAAACGCTTCTTAGTGTTTCTTGATGCTTGCTTGTCTTTTGCAAGAAATTTTCTGGATCACTCCAACATGTCAAATAATTCATTTAAATCAGTTATTTCAATAACTCTTTCGTAGATCAAATTCACTTGGTATTGTTTACTTGAATCGTCCCATTGATGTTTAGGACTACAACTGATCAGTCTTATTGGCATATGTGAATCCTGTGATGACTATCTCAATAGTGCCATAATTCATAGGCATTATAAGTAAAGATGGATAGTGGTTAGCTCGTCCCGTCTTATTTAGGACTCGTCAACTGGATGTACCTACATCTTAAATTTCATTTTTACTCTCGATCTCGAACCTTTTATCGTTCACTTTAAACGCCATCGCGTTATCCACTTAGCTACTGAGTCCTGATAGCTGCTCTCTTGTACAATAGGGGATGGCGCTAGGTTCAAGTCACAAAGTGTACATCAACTTTGAGATGCAGGTACATCCAGTTGACGAGTCCTAAATAGAACGAAACTTGAGTCCTAAATACCACTGCTATCCACTATTCATCTTTCCTCTTATAGTTCATTTCTTCATTACTAAAAACAAACTTATTTTCAATGAAATATAGTTTGGATTATATTAAAAATATGCAGATGATTAAGAATTGTTTTTCTTATATGCAAAATGGAAGAAAACTTTTTTCTAAAATTCACATTTACTGTGTACATTTGATTTATTGAAATCAGCAACTTGTAAAAATGTAAATTATCACTAATATACAATCAATAGATTTCTGATATTTTTGTCAGGTAGATATATATATCCAGATAAGAAAAAAAAATCAATAAAATTGTGATATTGTTTCATCAAATGATACTATGGATGAATTATGTGAACATTCATTGAGAAATGATTTTTAATACAGTAACAATCGATGCATTATTTGTAAATCAATATTTAATTTACAATCGGTTTTCATCATTAAGATGATATCATTCAGAGAATAGTTGAAAGATAAGAAAACTGTAGTAAATAATTGCCTCCAAATGCCTTTGCACAGTCGAGGATGTGGAGAGTTTACTGGGAAGTCCTATTCACTGTCTTCTTGTGGTTGGAGTGTTGTGTACAAAATTGCGAAGATGAAAAGCCAATTCCTGACGATTTAACTGTGTGTGTGTTGTTCATATGTATTTGGTGTATTCGGATATTCATGAACTGTGTGCATTTTTGATGACAATATTGACATTGAAATTATCATAATCATTCGTTATCAGGTGTTATTACGGGTACGATTTATGAATCCCAACTCATTGATTACAGGTAATCCTCAATGCCAAATAAGAAGAGGAGAACCAAAGAATACATTACGCCGAGAAACGGAGACAGACATGAGAAAAATGAACAAAAATTAGATAGAACTGGAAAGGAAAGCCCAGGACAGATTGAGTTAAAGAATGCTGGTCCACGATCCATGCTCCATTGGGAGTAACAGAACTCTAATATATTTGCTATCTGCGTTTACAGATAACAGTAGTATTCTCAATGTATCTGGATATACATCACAACCTATAACAATTGTAATTGGAATTATTAACTACTTATAGTTGTAGATTACTAGACTAAAAGAAACGCGACTACTCCAATTGTTGACAATTTAAGTAATGACCATGTGTGTATAGATTATATTCAATATATTAATAGATTAATTTTTGGATGTAATAACTTTATTATTGTTTTCAGAATCGTCATATTCATGATCCACCACAACACTTAGCGTTAATATTTCAGAGAGTAAAAGAGGGAGAGAGAGAGAGAGAGAAAATGTATCAAAAATTCTAGAATCTCAAAATTATTTCAGGAAAAGAACAAAGTATTTATGTTTTGTCTGTAACAAATCAATAACTATTGGTCTATTGTTGTTTGATTGTCAGAGTTAAATTCGGTGAAACCTTTGAGCAACGCTAAAGTGGCCTTGAGAATGTTCACTTACTGACTAAAGCTAAATGAGGGTTTTAAACTTTTGTGAAGGATAATGATTTTGATTTACAGTTGATGGTTAGGGATAGGGATTAGATTTAGAGTTCTCATCACGAACTCATATTAGCTAAAATGACAAGACTCTATTTAGCCGAATGGATATAGGAATTCGTGCTGAAATCCAAGACCTGTTATCATAAATCTGATTGGTTCGATCATAGATTATAGTCTCGCCTTAATGTTATTATTTAATTAGAAGTTTAATAATAAGAATAATTGCTATTTCTGGAAATTAACAAGTATGTGTTTAAAATGTGATGGAAATGGTGTCATTACTGTAATCCGAAAAATCATATTAGTTACACCATCATGTTTATGTCTTATTTCGACAAAGAGAAGAGATATCTGAAAATTTTGATCTGGAAGAGGGTTGATGACAACATTGTATTAAGAAACTGTCAAAGCTAGCTTATTGCAATATCTTATCTTAAACAAAGTACAGATGATCTTATTGGACAGAGGTAGGAAATCTACGAGCGAACTACTAAATAGATTCTGTCATTGGATTCTATCCGTTACGTCAGTTAATTAATAAGTGATTAAAAGTAGCCACAGTAATCAGTAAGTAGCCAAGACTCGGTATTCCGACATTTCCTGAAACCATGAATATTAGGCCTCTAAAACCCTGATTTGTGTACTTTAAAAGAAATAGTTGTCATATTTTTGTATCTAGGTAATACAAACGTTTTTTGCTCGTTACATTATAGAATTCTGTTCAGCTCATTTTTGATGGAGTTTTGTTCTCTGAGCTGGATGGTTTGGTCGTGGAGCTTTCATCTTTCTTCTGAACGACATCATCAGCACAAACTTCAGATAGAAGTGAAGTGTTCGAATTTCTCCATATGCGTTTTACAGCTTGTTCTGTACACCTCGACGTTGATTGTTTTGGTTGTGTCTCCCATTGGTTTGATTTTTGTTCCTATATTTGTGAACAATTTTCTTGATCGGTTGATAAATTGGATCGGTATCAGTGTGCTCAGCTCATTCTCTTAACAGATTACATTACTGTATCTCTTTTCGAGTATCTTCTAGATCAACAATTTCATTTTTAACTGACTAAACCTCACTTCATTCTTGTTTACTATGGCGTTCATTAATTACGTAACCACTGATTTCTAGACCTTAGATCTTTTGTAACAATCAAAGATTTTTGAAATCTTCCATGTAAAATATATATTTACAATTTCTTGTTTAGTCACTTTACTTCATTCGGATCCTGACAAGAGTTCATAATACTTTCCAAGTAAATTCATTTATGTAAGTATTGTCAACTCACTTTTTAACCCCAATTATGAAATACTACAGATTGTAAGCAGCTGATCATTTTATCTCGTAATGACTTGAGTAACTTAGATTAATTTTTTAACTCTAGACAAATAAACTGTTTCACCAGAATCTTTTCAACTATTTAATCCCCAGGTTTCAACTGTTAAAGGTGTTTTATCAATTTCAGCATCATCTTACTTCGATGTGATTTGTTCAGTGGTGAAACCCATTTTGAAAGATTTTGACAGTTAATTGTGACCTTATGACAGAACTAAACGACCTACACGTTAACAGCAATCTAACTGAACTATTAAACATTGAATATTGACGGGATTTCTTTCGCCATCGACAGTGAATACTTTATAATCTGAAAAATTGTTTAATTAAGACAAAGCTCTTAGTTTTAATCTCGCGAGCGGGATCGTGAATGCACACTGCTGAGAAGTCCCACAATACGACGAAACGGCCGTACAATACTTTCAGGTTTTCAATGGTGGTTTAAAATTGATCGGTTTATGATCTTATTCAAAAACTTCATATTCTCCACAAGCCCATACTGGTTATTTTATTTCAGCTTACATTTGTGTTTCATTAAGAAATGATAGATATCGGGATTATAATTTAAAATATTTTGGCATTTTATATACATACCTGACTTACTATCTGTTTTCATATAGTCTTTCAGTAAAGATGCTTATCTACTTTATATTCACAGAAATTTGTTTAATGACTCAAGTCATGGAGAAAAATAAATACAAGAGGTTAAGGATTCACTCGCGAAAACGGTGGGTCCTAGGTTCGAGTCTTGCGAGGTGGGATGACAGATGCGCACTGCTGAGGAGTCCCATACTAGGTCGCAAAGGCCATTCAGTACTTCCCGGTTTTCCATGGTGGTCTAGCTTCAATTGACTCATGAATTCAACTATTAAAGTATACAACTTTGTTCAAAATTTAATTATATATTACGATTTAACAAATGAATATTTTCAGAAGGGGTTTTGTGGAGATTTTAGTAATTTCAATAGTTGAGATCATGAGTCAACTGAAGCTAGACCACCATGGAAAACCTGGAAGCGCTGGAAGGCCGTTTTGTCCTATTATGGGACTCCTCAGCAGTGCACATCCATGGTCCAGCCCCTCCCCCCGCGAAACGGTCATTCAATGCTTTCAGGTTTGCCATGGTGATCTAGCTTCACTTGACTCATGATTCCAACTATTGAAATGACTATTTGTTTAAAGGTAATTTTATAAAGTGTACAATTAGATTTCATTTAAGCTACATGGGAAGTGAAAAGGTCGTGCAAATCTCTGAGAGTTAAATTTGAAATGAAAATGTAAAAGAAAAATCTTTCTATATAGAAGGTTACTATAATGTTTATATCTTTAATAGCGCTATATAGACTGTAAGAAGTAGTAAACACCCATCGTTTCATTTATTTGATTTCTTATAAGGGTCAGTATTAATAATAAAGTCTTATTGAGATTACGAACTGATTCAAATTAGACAACCACTGGAAACATGAAAGCAGTGAACCACTATTCTGTCTGAGTATACAACTTCGCAGTATTACCCATTCACGATACCCTAATCGGGAATCGAACCCAGAAATTCCGGTCACTCTGATACAGTCTAACCTTTAGATCACTGAACTGGCATCCACTAACTTTCAAGTTGATTTTAATTCCCGATGGAAGTATCTGTATGTTATTGCACTAATGACCTACTGAAATCTTCATGCTATCTACTATTTAACTAACCAAATACCCCCCCCCCCAAAAAAAATTGTTTATATTCATCTGGACTAAGCAATAATCCATTTATTCATGTACTTTCATAACAAAGATTGGTTCAATGAATAGTTCCCATCTTAGAGAATTCATCTTCAAAGACTGTAATATAAGGTTGTGGACAAATATCGATTAGAGTTACACTACTATGTTAAACAAACCATCAAATAGTAGCTATGCAATTTTAAAAAAAAATCAAATTTCACTTACCATCTGATATAAACTGTAAAAGAAATACAATTATTACATTGATTTCACTAGTGATTATTATTTTTTTGTTCTTTTGCATGTTCACTTTGTCACTATGACATATATTGGATCATATAGGAGTTTCAATAACTAATGATGCTTTTGATCATTACTGTTTATGCATTCAGTAAAATAATAATAATCAATGTTTAACAATTAATTAGCAATTTGACACAGTTTTGTTTGTGTGTGTGTGTGTGTGTGTGGGTCTGTGTCGACAGAAGTTCTCTCGTTCAAATAATCATGCAACTTATATCAGACTGGTTAAAGCACTATAAACACATACATTTATATAACTGTATATTAATTGGTATGCAAGAGTAAACTACATGTAAGATTATTTGTTATCCAATGAATGAATACACAATTTGTTTGTTTGTTTGTTTGTTTGTAATTGACAATATAACATTTCGATGAATTCATTAGTTAATGGTATATGGATAGTGAAATGTTCATGAAAAAAATGATGCATCATTTGTCAAGTGTCTAAGTCATAAATAAATCATTTCCATAGTTTGAAACAAGGATTAATGTTTCACTGATTGAAATCATGAGTCAGTTGAAGCTAGACCACCATGGAAAACCTAGAAGCACTGGATGGCCGTTTCGTCCTAGTATGGGACTCCTCAGTAGTGCGCATTCACGATCCCGCACTAAATCACTGTTGAAAATTATTTAGCATAGGACAGTTGTCTTGCTCTAGTATACGGTTCCTCTACAGTTAGTATGAGTGATTTCCCATCTCTCTCTCCACCCAATAAGTATTAAACCTAGAAACTTCCGTCTCATAGATAGCTAGTTGACAGTCAATGAAAATATATATGATTATGAATTCAATCGTGGATTTAATCAAAATATTATTTCGTTTGTTTTCTGATATGAGACTCCGAAAATCACGCTCTATATGACTAGTATTATGAAATGCAGAAGATTTAAACACTTCCTGTTATCTACATTAGTTATGAATGGATATTTAACAAATGCTTAACTAAGCAAAAATATTAGTCGAAAAGGAGACCTGAAATAGTAACAACTTGTAAGAAATCACTGTTGTTATAAATAGAATTCGTAGATGATGTTGTTAATGAGAATGTGACAGAGAAGATAGGAGGAGCTGTAAATAGAACAAAAAATTCATTCAAACTATTAAATGACATCTATAAGTAGAATCACTTTCACTAATTTCACAATCGATAAAATCAAAATATTAACCAACACATTTTATTCAATAGACTAATGAGATTTACAGTGTTCATTCATCCCAGCCTAAAGTTCCTGATGGCTCTATGTCAGATTTCTGGTAGTGTTGTATGTTCGCATGTTTTGGGAGTCCCATAATAGGACCGAACAAGCATATTTGGTTTTTATCGATACCTTAACTGAGACAAATCATTGATGAATATCTTCATACGGCTAAATGTGGATGGATATGCTTCGGAGATACATCACTCAACTTAGATCTTACCATAAATGGTGAAGTGTTATCTAGGTTACATGCAGTAGTAGACTTAGGACTTAGATACTCCCAAGACTTGTCGTTTACAGAACAGATATTGAAACAGACCTCTAAGTCTCAACGTCTTGTCGGTTACATAACTCGAAACCTTCATAACAATGAGTCACGTATTTTAATGTACAAAGTTTGTGTTCGACCATTTGTAAAATATTGCACGTTTATTCTTAGCAGTGCGCGCACGAAGGATAAATTAAGGCTGGAATCAGTACAGAGATGATTTACACTTCGTATTCTTGCAGCTGATTGTAACTTAACTTATAATTCTAGATGTAATAAACTTGGACTAGACCCTTTATGGAGGAGGAGACTCAAACTAAATCTTATCTTTTTCTTTAAACTACTTAATAAACTATCGTTTACATTCAATCACGTGATTCAATATGCAGAAACTTCTCATTGTGACATCCGTAATTCCTTGACACTAGTGAAAAAAACTTATTCTAAATCATCTCTTTATATGAATTACTTCACCTGTAAATTTTCTAGACTCTGGAATAACCTACAACAATCTATCTGTACGATAAAATCACTGCCATTATTTGTTCGTTGCATCGATGCATACTGCTCCTCTGAAAATGCATTGAATGTTCAAGCACCTGTAAGTGTATCTCATTCCACAAGTAATATTATAGGAACTTTAAATATTTAGCCATTTTTATTAGTGCATTCCCTAAGTAAAACCACCTACTTGTTGTCACTTTATGTTAACACCGTCCCCAGCAAGTTTAACTAATTTGAATAACATCAACAGTATATCACTGTGCCACATGACACATGCATTTTGGTAGACCTGATTGACATATTTTGGTAATTACTGCTTTGTTGTTCCGTGCTCTCTGTTTTCATTTTACTTTCTCTAGTTGTAGATAATTATCATTAATTTCGATCTGGCACACGAAATGACCTCAATTACAACGTTCATAAATCAGCAGACTGTCCATTTAAGAAAAATTAAAAGTTCCCGGCTGATGCATTGGATCGTTGTAATACATGTACTACCTAAACAATTACTGAACTAGTATACGTAACACTTTCTTCTATCGCATGTTTGTTCTCTACATTTAATGTTATTATTTAAATCAAATTTATCATGCCTGTAGACTGGCGTGAATTCTGTAATTATTTTTTTCAAAATATATAAATTATTAATATGATTATTATTATTATGACGTAAAATAGTCGTTACAAAACCGCTTTATCTATATTATGTTATGTCATCTCTTTAATGACATGTCTCAGTACATCTGCTAGACAATACTTATCGACATTTTAATAATTATCTTTATCTCTGTACTAAAATCGATTATTTTTGTTAGTCTAATGCACCACTTTCAAGATAGTTTACATAATGAAATGACTTCTGTTAGACAACCATCGAAATCAGAGAGTACTGTGTGGTTGTTTCATCATAATGTGATACTATTCAGGCATATTCAGTCATGATTCAACCATGTATCGAATTGAAGATATTGATGCCTCACTGTGGGTGGATAAATTTTAAACCACTGAATTGAAATCTGATGAGATTGCGGATTTCACTAACTTAACAACTGATGAAGTCTAAATATTTACCAAAATGTTTTATATAATAAAGTAAAGCTTTTCAAAATGTTGTCTCATAAAATGACGAAGTACCAAATCTTGTTTATTTATTCCTATATACCCATTTTACATGACTCATTAGACATATGTGCTAGCGTTGTCCGACCTCAAGTCAGACGCATAACGTTTTAACTACTGACTCGGCATCTAAACTTGACTTATCAGTTCATGCTAATGTACAGTCACTCAGTGACGAGTAATTTTTTTTTAATAATTAAACTGATCCCCATAAATTGCCTTAATTAGTTTTGGTTATATGATCCAAAATTGTTTCACGAAACAGTTTGTAATTTTTCGTGTTCTTGATCTGAGTTGTGTTGAAGCCATGTAGAATAGACACTGGGGGGGGGGGTGAAATCTAGTGTAGATATTCGTCTAATGTAACTTAACGTCCCATTCGTGTAGAAGAAGATTTTAGTCATTTCAATGGTTAAATTCATGAGTCAATTGAAGATAGACCATCATCGAGAACCTGAAATCCCTGAACGGCTGTTTCGTCTTAGTATGGGACTCTTCAGCAGTGCCCATTTACGATTCCGCCTCGTGAGATCCCAACCCAGGACCTACCGGTCTCACGTGCGAACGCTTAACATCTAAACTTTTGAGTTGGTATCCAATGGTGTTAATGTCTAACTTCAACCAATTCACGAAATTGTGCCACTGTCCATCATTGTCTTTAGTGAGTTACTATATCACAACAGACCCGATTGAACTCCACTGGTCACTGCTTCTCATTAGAACTCCAGGGAATACCTCTTGAAGCTAGTCATCAGTGTTCACATAATGAATAATATCAGTATGGGTTTGGTATAATAGTTGAATCTCTCAGGGCGAGATCGTTGATTTGCACCGCCAAGGAGTTCCATACTAGGACGAAAAGGTCGTCCAATGCTTTCAGGTTTTCCATGGTAGTCTATCTTTAATTGACTCATGAATTCAATTAATAAATTAAACAAAATTAATTTTATAAATTTGACAACTACATCTTACGTGAACTAATTTTGATATAAAATTTTGTAATACAATTTAAAAACTTATTTGTTGTAGTATTATACAAGCCCATAAAGCTTATTCTAACATTTGGACAAGTTAATTTATTCATTCTTTTTAGTCACTTGACAACCAATAACTATCCACTAGTTTTAATTATGAAAATTATTTATACATTCAAATATTTTTATCTATAGATAATCATCTATTTTAGTTGACATAGTGAAATTGTATGTCGAAATATATAGTTGACATCATGAGTCAATTGAAGCTAGACCATCATGGAAGACCGAGAAACACTGTACGGCTGTTTCGTTCTAGTATGGGAATACTCAGCAGTGCGCATCCACGATTCCTTCCGCTGCTCGCGCGCGAGACTGATAAGTCATGGGTTCGAATCTCGCAGGGGGCGAGATCGTGGATGCGCACTGATGAGGAGTCCCATACTGGAACGAAACAGCTGTTCAGTGCTTCGAGGCTTTCCATGGTGGTCTAGCTTCAATTGACTCGTGATTTCAACTATTAAAATTACTAAAATCTCCACAAAACCCCTTCTAAAAAAATATAATCAATTTTAGACATAATTAAAACTCTTCGAGCTACATTGATATCTGAAGGGGATATATTGATGAAATGTTAATTTGAATGAATATTCTCATTGATCAAATTGTAACAAACAAGATCATAAGTGAGGATAACCAAATGAATCTTAATGAAAAATTATATCATTTCTTAGTAAAATCTAAGGACAATACAGTAAATACTTCGGTGAGACTATAATTTCTGGATGACATTTAACCGACGTTAAAGCAACCTTGAGAGTGTTCACCTAATAACCAGGACCAAATGTGGGTTATAAAAAAGTATGAAGAATTATAATTATGATTTACAGTTGATGGTTTAGGTTAAGAATTACATTTATGGTTTTCATCACGAACTGACATCAGCTATAATGCCAAGACTCCATTTAACCAAATGGATGAGCGAATTTCGCACTAAAATCCGAGACCTATTATCTTATACCTGATTGATTCGTTCAGAAATTATAGTCTCGCTGATACTTCATTTTCAATATATCCATCAATTATCTCAGACTTTATTGATCCTTCATTTTCATACTAATCATTCTCTGTTCACATTCT